CACCCCTCCCCATCCTTCCCACCAGCACCCTCCCCACGCCCCTCCCCACTGTTGGTGCTCCGCTTGAGCCCATTCCTGCAGCCACTGTGTCAGCCCTTCTCATTGAGGGGCTTCCTCTGTTTCCCCGACCCTCTTCATCAACAAACTTGATGTCCTTCTGCAAGGACCACCCGGTCCCTCCTCATTCTGTGTCCATAGTATGGGAGATGAGACCTCCTCATTCTTGCAAGTCAGTGTTAGATGCTGTATTATCATTTCCAGGACTTGTCTCCTCATTTAATTCAGCATGTTTTAAAACAAGTACATAAAAGTGCAGTAGGTAACGACAAATATTCCTTTCTTTACCTTGTCATGTGGGAATATTTGTCGTTGTGCGTCGCACATTTTAAAAGTTTCTGCTGTAAGTATTACACTGTTGGCATGCACCACTTAACTGGAAGTGACCCATAGCTGACGCCCCGCCAGGTTTTCAGAGGCAGTAAATTGTACAGGAGGAGATTGCCCGTCCTTCCCCTGGGGAGCAGCTGGTGGATTTGAATCCCAGACCTTGGGGTTGCCAGCACAACTACTTACCACTAGGCTACCAGAGCTCCGTAAATATTACACTGGGAATAGAAACACAAAGAGAAGGCCAGTTCTCTTCTCTATATTGGGGTTTTGAACAATGAAGTACAATTCATAAGTCAGACAGAAAGAAAGGGAAATTGTTGTTCATAGAGTTAGTTACTGTGAGTCGTAACGAGTTCAGCGGTGCCCAACAACAACAGAACGACTCCAAATACTGAGAATTGAGTGGATCGTGTTAGCTCTTTCTGGGGATAATCTGGAAGTGGCCTCCTCTGCCTTGGGAATTCTTTGTTTTCCTTCTCACTCTGCTGAGGTTCTCCAATTGGCCACACAATGTGAGACACCAAGTATCCTGAACGAATGCCTGTTTTCCTGAACTTTTTCCCATCCCAGAAGGAGAATGGACAAAATAACAAAGGTAAATCTTCTAGGTCAATGTGTGTGTGTGTGTGTGTGTGTAAATTCAATATAATTTGTAAGCTTTCACTCAAAAAAATAAAAATTTTTGTAAGAACTACGTTGCCCACTCAAGTTTTACGTATGAGATAGAGACAGAGATGGAGAGAACCCACGGGCTTGGCGGGGCTTTAACAGTCCACGTTTGCGAAGTGCTTTACAGCCTTGCATCTCTGTGATTCTGTGAGGTGCTCTCTGCTGCCAGGCGGCCATCGTTACCTTCATTCTGCAGATCAGAGAATTCCTCTCTCTCATTGTCAGGTCAAGGCTGACCCTCCCTTAGGTTCCGAGGCTGTAAATCATGTGGGAGGACGTTTCCCATCTCTCTCCCTGCAGAGCTGCTCACAGGACTGAACAACCAGAGAGATGTGGCTCAGTCACTAGCACAGCTCCTCACAGACTCCCCTCACCCCGGACTCACACGGACTCCCCACAGAGTCCCCACAGACTCCCCACAAACTCCCCCAGACTCCCCCCAGACGCCACCGGACTCCCCACAGACCCCCCACCCCAGACTCCCCACAGATAACGAAAGCTGAGAGGAGTCGCTGTAGCAGTACTGTACATGCTGGTTATATTTCCACAAAGCAAAAAATTCCTTTAAGGTTTTTAACCTTTGCCTTGACGTATGAGAAAGAGCCCTGGTGACACTATGGGCTAAGCCTTGGCCCACAAACTCTTAGAGCAGAGGTTCACATCTAACCACAAATCCACGGGAGAAAGATGTGGCAGTCTGTGTCTGAAGGGTCCCAGCCTCAGAAACCAGGTGGGGCGGCCCTCCCCTGTCCTGCAGGGTCACTGTGAGTTGGCACTAAGTTGCTGGCAGTGCATTTTAGGTAGTCAGTGGAAAGAAGCCTGATGGCTCAGTGGTTAAACATCCTTGGCTGCTATCTGAAAGGCTGATGATTTGAATCCACCAGCTGCTCCGTGAGAGACCTGGTCAACTGTTCCCATAAAGATTTACAGCCTGGGAAATTCTAGGGTGCAGTTCTTTTCTGTCCTATAGGGAATACTTAGTCACATCACCTAGAGAACAAACAAGTCCAGTGAGATTCAGTTTCAGAAACAGTATAAAGTTCCAGTGCTTATAAAGCTTTGCCATTTTTTATATTCAAAGTAAGAATTCTAGTTTTAAGTTTTTGTTAAAAAATGGTTTTAGTTGATAATTTATACTGTTAAGAATATCACTGCTGATGTCAGGTGGATATTGGCTGAAAGCAGAGAATACCAGAAGAATGTCTATCTGTGTTTCATTGTTTATGCAAAGGCATTTTACTGCATAGATCCTAACAAATTATGACTAACTTTGAGAATATTAGAATCCCAGAACACTTGATTGTGTTCATGTCAAATCATAGACCAAGAAGTAGTTGTCCAAACAGAAAAGGGAACGCTGCATGATTTAAAATCAGGCAGAGTGTGAATCAGGATTGAAATCTTCTTCATCCCTGTTCAATCTGGATGCTGAACAAATCGTTTGAGAAGCCACACTACATGAAGAAGAATGTGGCGTCAGGAATGGAGGAAGACTGACTCATCAACAGCCTAGGCTTTGCAGATGACGCACCTTTGCAGAAAGTGATGAAGACTTGATGTACTTACTGCAGAAGATCAAAGACTACAGCCTTCAATATGGGTTACATCTCAGCCTCAAGAAAACAAACTGGAGGAATGGGCAAACATCATGATGGAAAATTTGGAATTGTCTACGTTTCACTTAACTTGGATCCACAGTGAACACCCTTGGTAGCAACAGTAAAGAAATCAAAAGACATTGAAGTAAAGAAATCAAAAGACATTGAGGAAACTGCCTGTCATGGTCCTCTCCAAAGTTCCAAGGAGCAGGGATGCCAGGTTAAAGACTAAGGTTTGGCTATCCATGTCTCGGTATTTTCAGTTGCTTTTGTACACCTGAAAGTTGGACAGTCAATAAAAACAGAAAAATTGTTGTCTTTTAACTGTGGTGTTGGCAAAGAATATGCAGTGTACCAGAGACTGCCAAAGAATAAACAAGTCTGCCTTGAAGGAAATATAACCAGCATGCTCCTGAGAGGCAAAGGTGGTGAGCCTTCTCTTCGTATTTTCAGGAGGAACTAGTCATTGGAGAGAGACATCGTGCTGGGAAAAGTGGAGGGCCAATGAGAGCAAGACCCTCAGCGAGATGCATTGGCGCAGTGACGACCAGAGTGGGTTAGAGCGTTGTCAGAGATCTGGACTATGGGACAGAGGAGGACAGAGTTTGGATCTGTCCTTAGGTTTGCTCTGAGTGGTAGTTGACTTGATGGCACCCAACAACAGTATTCTTTTTTCAGTAAGGTGACAAACATGAGTTAGTAGGAAACCATGGTCACAGTGGAGGGCCTGCACTGACTGTTGTCTTCTGCACCATTCAATGACTAGACCAGAATGAATGAGCAGGTCTTGCCTGGAAAGACACTGTGTGTGGGTCAGTGTTCTTCCTCTAAGCACTTGATGGCATCTCCCTCCATTCCCGGCAGGTGGAGCTTCAGGACATGAAATTGAGCTCTTGTTCCCTAAACGATCACTTTACAGAACAAAAAAATATCCGTTTCACCCTTTGCAAACCAAATAATGTTAAGGATCTCAGAACTTCCTGGCACTGTTTTTCCCAGACTTCCTTGTAGAGAGCTGAATTTTGAAATTTTTTTGGAAATTTTTCTTACAGAGCTGAAATGTTTTTAAAGAACGGGGGAAGATTAGTAAGTTATATGACCCTTTGCTGAGAGGAATTGACAAATAGGCAGTGTTTTACGTTTGAAAGGAGCCCAGATGGCAGAGTGCCTACATGTTATGCTGCTGACAGAAAGTGTTAGACCCCATGACCTTCAGTCTCTGGCTGGAGGGGCCTCCCAGAGTCAGTGGGGTCAGCAGGGGGCTGTGCACTGGCCTGAATGTGAATCTCCTGGGGTCTGTGCCTGGCTCGGGCACACACCACCTGGAGGTTGCTGCGTGTCAGCACAGCTCAGAGCGCTTGGCCACTCGGGCCTGCTCCTCGAGGCATTAGCCTTGGTCCCCACTCTGGACCCGCACAGCGTGGGCTGATTTCCGCACCCAGCGTGGTTCGATCCTGCAACTTCTGCACCTGTGCCTTCAGCCTCCCGCCTCCCATTGCTTTGTGAGGAGCTGCCCCAGAGCCCGCAGCAGGGAGCAGTAGCATCCATTCATCTTCATCCCTGTCGTAGCCCAGTGTGCCCTCAGCTGGGCGGTTCTCCTCAGGTGCAGTCATATGGGAACTGGCTGACACTTGCCACACCTGCATGGCCTTTCCATGTGGCCTGGTGACTGCTTCCAGTGTGGACGTTCCCAGATAGAGCCAGGAGGAAGCAAATGCCCTCTGTGCCCTCTCATCGCTGCTGTGTTTGCTCAACAGAAGCGGGTGACCACAGCCAAGGAATGGGCCGTTATGCCCCACTGCTCGACGGAAGAAGTACCAGAGTTTTCAGACATATTTCAAGTGCCCCAGCCAGTGCTCCTCCTTTGGGTTCCAGAGACCAGTCTTCATTTGCGATGGAATCTGCAGAGTCTGTTCAGATTAGATCCTCTGACCCCATGGGTGGAGGGAGGGAACGTTTGGAGAAACTGCTCCTGGATCCCCGAGTGGTGCCCCTGCCATTCCCAAGGCCAGCCTCTGGCAAGGAACCCCTCTGTCTGAGAAAGGGCTGTTTTAGAGAGACAGCAGATGCAGGAGGGCAGTGTAGGTAGAGGAGACGGGTTTTTAGAGACCTTTAGCTTAGAATTTCAGTAAGACCAGGGTTTTCAAGTTTGCTTATAGTTCATTATTCTGTGGATGGCCAAACCTGTTGTCAGAGAAATTGAATCTGGTGGGGATAGTTTGCATCTGCATCTGAACAAAATAATTTCCAGAGGAGAAAATATCTCCAGTGGATATCTGAGGTCAGCCCTGAAGGGCATTTGGACAGGCCTTGCTCAGCACAGAGGCTCCCCAAGCACAGAGGCTCCTCAGCACAGAGGCTCCCTCAGCACAGAGGCTCCCTCAGCACAGAGGCTCCTCAGGACAGAGGCTCCCTC